GGTCCCCACCTGCTTGCCAGACTCAGGCCCTCCCCCTCTGGTCAGGGTTGGGCTTCCTTCCAGAACCTCTCCCTGCAATCTCCAGGATGCATCTCAGAGATGGCACAGTAAACCCTCCAAGAGCCTCCTTTCATGTTTAAAAACAATGCAGCTCTTTCAAGAGGCTACAACAATCAGAAGCTGATGTGTCACCACTCAACACCAGGAGCACACCCTTCACATTCACTTTTCCTTTATGGCGCAGACTCAGAGATGGTCAGCAGACAGTTCCATACCCGTAAATGGGCTGATGCCAAGCCATTTTTTCGCCCTTTCATGATATTGCATGTAGATTCATCCAAAGCTATTAAAAATTAATTACCCCCCAAGAAGCCTTGAATCAAAAGTCAACATTTACAATTTATTAATTACCATGGCCCCTGGCATTAGAGATTCATTACACTGGAGCTGCAGTGCTAATCTAATTTTACATGAAAGGGGACGTGTAATTGCAGGAGCTCTGCAAATCTGAGCCATAGCAAAATCATTTTATGCTCCCCTTTGAGTCTGTAGGAGTCAATCATACCAAAGGCCTTGGCTGGTTTGTCAGCCACCCCAGAGCACATTCGGCCTTCGGACAGAGAGCCCCCTGAGTGAAAGGGGCAGAATGTGGCCAGAGGCCAGGGCCCGGCTCTGAGCACACCATCCACCACCTGCTCACCATGCTGCAGAGGGCTGGGGGCTCCCTACTGAAGGTGGTCCTTGGAGGAAAAGGCTCCCTAGGAACTGGGTGGGATTCTGCACCTTGTGCCTCAGCAGCGATTTCAGAGGGATTACCAAGGCACTGGGGAAACAGAGGATCGAAGGGGCCGGCGTCACTCCTTTCGCTCCCTTTTCCTAACCTGCAGGACACTTTGCGGCTGATCAAACTGTCCCCACTATCACCATCACCACTGTCACCTGTATTGGTGCCACACGGGCCACACACGGTGCTGACACTGTACACAGCTTCACAACAGCCCGATTCTTCAAATAAATGAATGGGGCTGAGTGGGAAGGGGGGCTGGGTTAGATCATTTGTCCCAGGTCATGTGGCTAGAAAGTGACATGGCTGGGAACCCAGCTCAGTTGGGTTCTGGTACTACAGACACCATGAGGAACAAATGGGACCCAGAGCCTGGCTCTGCCCCCTGAAGCTCTCTCATATCCCAGTACTTCTCTCCTTCCCCACTGCCTCCACCTCTGGCCAGCGCCACCTGCCACCTGGATCCGCTGGCCCCTCTGCCACTGTCCAGCGTCGCTCTGACACATTCTCCACCCTGCAGCCAGAGGAACAGAGCTGAGAGTGCCAGACTCCAGCCGGCAGCCCTTGGGACCCAGCGGGGATTCCGGCTGGGAAGGCCTTTCACGATCCATGATCTGGTCCCTGCTGGTCTCTCCAGTCTCATCTTGGGACGTCCCTTCCCGCCACCACCCCTCCCTGCTCCTGCCACTTGAGAACTGTCTGCAGCTCAGGACAGCCATGCTCTCCTCCACCTCTGGGCCTCACTTTCACTGTACTCCACTCACCTTCACCAGGATAATTCCTCCTTGCCCTTTGGGTCTCAACTTATGTATCACTTCCTCCAGGGAGCCTTCCCTGACCATCCAGACTGGGTTAGGTTCCCCTCCTCAGGCTTCCTTTGCCAGGGTGAAGCATCAGACACAATCCACCATGATTTTCTGTGGATCTGTCTGCCTCCCCACAGCAGGCAGTAATGTCCCTGGCTGCAGAGACTCATTTTGCTTTCCACTGAATCTTTTTTTGTTTTTTTTAATAAACATATTTTTGGCTGTGTTGGGTCTTTGTTGCGCCGAGCGGGGGCTACTCTTCATTGCAGTGCACAGCCTTCTCATTGCGGTGGCTTCTCTTGTTGTGGAGCAGGGGCTCTAGGCACACGGGCTCAGTAGTTGTGGCTCGTGGGCTCTAGAGCGCAGGCTCAGTAGTTGTGACGCACGGGTTTAGTTGTTCCACAGAATGTGAGATCTTCCCAGACCAGGGCTGGAACCTGTGTCCCCTGCATTGGCAGGCATATTTTTAACCACTGTGTCACCAGGGAAGCCCCTCCACTGTATCTTTATCTCCTAACACTGTCTGGCACAGAGAGATGTGCAGTAAGGATTTACTGTATAATAAAATATAATAACCTCCATAAAATTTAGCATGAAAGCAAGTTTTCTAACTCAGAAATATTAAGCACTAACATGTGGAAGTCACTGGCTGCTCCAGATCTATGATTAAAACTATTCAAAGGGACTTCCCTGGTGGCGCAGTGGTTAAGAATCTGCCCGCCAAGGCAGGGGACACAGGTTTGAGCCCTGGTCCGGGAAGATCCCACATGTCGCGGAGCAACTAAGCCCGTGCGTCACAACTACTGAGACTGTGCTCTAGAGCCCGCGAGCCACAACTACTGAGCCGCATGCCTAGAGCCCGTGCTCTGCAACAAGAGAAGCCACCGCAATGAGAAGGCTGCGCACCACAACAAAGGGTAGCCCCCACTCGCCCCAACTAGAGAAAGCCTGCATGCAGCAACGAAGACCCAACGCAGCCAAAAATAAATAAATAAAACATTAAAAAAAAAACTTAAGCTGATTCTAAAATTTACATAGAAGGGGAAAATCCCAATAAATTTTTGAAATTAAAGAACGAGGAAGGATTTATCCTATCAGCTGTCAAACTAGACTATAAAGCTACAGGGAGTAAACTGTGGGATACGGGTGCAGGAATTGACAAAGAGATCATTGGAGACCAGAGTGTTCAGAAACAGAATAAATTCTGTTGAGAACATTAGATATACTTTTGGAAAACAAAATTAGATGCCTACCTCACACCTTGCACAAAAACAAATTCCAGAGGATATAATTTAAAACACGCTTGCTAACAGTCCCTTCTTTCCCAAGTGATTCAAATGGCACCTTTATCACTAAGTGAATTCCCATAGGTACATAAATCTATTTCTGGAGACAGCATTCCGGTTTTTAGAATGAAAACCAAGGCTTTTCACCTACAACATTTAAATAAGCAACCACAGACCCGAATTCTAAAAATGCTGTCCCTGCTTCTGAGGCAGCTTCATGAGGGGAAATAGTCATTCTGCAGATCTCACACTCTGAGGGTCACTTTCAATTAATGCAGTCCTGAGTGATTATGGTGGTCATTTCTTAGACAGAGCTGTCCACTCTATCACTGCCTGGTTGACCCAAGTAGGCAGGGCTCTGGGAAGCTTCTGGGCCCCAGGGGCGATGTTGGCAAGGAACACCAGGTTGAGAAAAGGCACATTTTGCATCAAGGTGCCACGGTTTTTCTATATATTTCCAAAAGTAACGAATCTCCATAAATTGCATTCTTTTCCAAACATTCCCAAAGGCAAAGATTTTACATGATCAGTCATATTTTGGGAGCTACAGTATTAGCAGTACTGCAGTGTTATTCGTTTACCTTTAGATGGAAATATGATCTCTGAACAAGCCTCCCTGCCACTGAGATGTGGTATTTCAGGCCCCGAGGGAATGAAAAGAGGCAGAACCTGTATCTACAGTGAGCTGCCTTCAGTGGTCCACCCCCCATGCCAGGGGTACTGATGAATACGACCTGTACACAGGTCCCCTGTTCTTTAAAGCAAAGAGGACATATAAGACACTGTAATGCCTGAGAAAACATGCAATCATTTTTAAAATGCAAAATGAGTGTGTTCACCAAGAAAACCTGTGTTCAACACTTCCTCAGATTGTCCTGGGTGGCTGACTCAGCCTCTCCAAGCCTGGACTCTCTCACACTTCTTGTGGTGGTATAAAATGGTGCAAACACTTTAGAAGACAATTTGATAGTTGCTTAAAAAGTTGAACATTGGGACTTCCCTGGTGGTCCAGTGGTAAAGAATCAGCCTTCCAATGCAGGGGACGTGGGCTTGATCCCTGGTCAGGGAACTAAGATCCCACATGCCGCAGGGCAACTAAGTCTGCTGCAACTACTGAGCCCATGTGCCTCAACCAGACAGCCCACATGCCACAAACTACAGAGTCCACGCACCCTGGAGCCCTTGTGCCACGACTGGAGAGAGAAAAAAAAACCGCACGCCACAACTAGAGAGAAGCCTGTGCCACAGTGAAAAATCCTGCATGCCGCAACTAAGACCTGACGCAGCCAAAAAAATAAGATAAATTAAAAATTTTTTTAATTAAAAAAGTTAAACATCCATCTACCCTATGACCCAGGCATTCCACCCCTAGCTATTTACCCATGAGAAAAGAAAGCACATGTCCATGCAAACGCTTGGATGTAAATGTTCATAGCAGCTCTATCTGCAATAGCCAAAACCCAGCAACACCCCAACTGTCCACCAACAGGCAACGGATAAACTGTGGCACATCCCATGATAGAATACCATGAAAGGAAAAAACTAGTGATGTGTGCACAGCATGAGGGGATTTCAAAACAGTTATGCTGGGTGAAAGAAGTCAAATGGAAAGGAAATATACTGGACAAGTCCACTTGTATACAATTCCAGAAAATGCAAACTCTGTTGTGCCTGAAAGCAGGTTAGTGTGGCCTGGGGAGGTAGAGGTGGGAAGAGCTCAAGAGGATTTACAAAAAGGCACGGGGATGATGGATACTGTCCCTAATCTTGACTGTGGTGGTGGTTTCACAGGTACATACATATGCCAACCCTTATCAATTTGTACCCTTTAAATATAGGCAGTTTACTGCATGTCAATTATGCTCAGTAACAATGTTTTAAAAACACACACACACACACACACACACACTGAAGACAAAAAAGAATGGTTGTTGGTCAAACCGTGATGCTGTACACCTTAAACTTATACAGTGCTGTATGTCAATGATATTTCAATAAAACTAGAAAAAAAAAAAATGAATGTGTCAAATCAACACATTGTACACCTTAAATTTACACAATGTTATATATTAATTATATCTCAATTTTTAAAAAGGAAAGCTAATTTTTAAAAAGTGAGGGACTTCCCTGGTTGTCTAGTGGCTAAGACCCTGCACTCCTAAGGCAGAGGGCCCAGGTTCGATCCCTGGTCAGGGAGCTAGATCCCACATGCCGCAACTAAGAGTTCGCATGCTGCAGCTAAATATCCCTCACGCCGCAACGAAGATCCAGCATGCCTCAACTAAGACGCGGTGCAGCCAAATAAATGAATGAATAAATAAATAAATATTACAAAAAGAGAGAGAGAGAGAGAGGCTGTCCATAGAGAAACCCTGTGCCCCACACCCTCCAGCTGGGGCAGCTACTGCAAGCCACCAAGGCCACGAGACCTGTCACCTCCGTGTGGTCAGACCTCCCACATGCCACTGCTGAAGGCCCAGCTGTCCCCTGGGCCCCACCTTCCCTAACTGGGCAGACCCTGCCTCCCCCGTCAGCCCACACAAGGCCAATGTACCAGCCACGTTGGTCATGGCCACACATGACCAACATTCACGTTCCCCAGGGAATCCCCACCCAACCAGCCAGGACTGACCGTTGCGTGAGGCAGAGGTGTTCTTTAGATAGAATTCAATTTGTGATTGCAGATTATCTTCTTTAGCTGCTTTTAGGCAAAGAGACACCAGCACTACAGCCAATAAAAATCCCACTCACATGCTCTATTTCCCACTCCCTGAGGTTCCATGCAGTAAAACCGAGGCTGTTCTAAGAAGGCAGGTGGCGTGCCTGGGCTCTGGGGAAGCTGCAATAACTCTTTCATGCTCCAGGGCCAGATTCTAAGCAAAGCTCCCTGTTCCTGGATGCCCCCACCAGAAAACAAACAAAACAATCCTTGCCTGTTTTTGCTCTGCACTGTGTTCTCATCCAGGGGATGCAGCAAGGCACAGCTTTGAAGCTGCAAAAGGCTACATTTGAATTTCGGCACCGCTATTCATTCACTCATTCATTTCCTGAGCACCTACTGTGTTGCAGGCCCTGCACTCTGCTCGGAGCCGACAGTCTAGTTGAGCGGACAGATGTTGATCAAAGCGTCACCACTTCCTAACAGTGATCTCAGGCAAGGCGCTGAGGTTGCCCCCGTGTCCGTGCCTTCTTCTCAGCGGACTGTTCACGACTCATTGAGCCAGTGCCTTAGCCGTGCCTGCACCAGACCCAGACCGCCCAGGGTCACCCTCAGCATCTGGGTGCGGGGAAAGGAAATGGGGTATGTTCCTTAATGGGTCTCCTTCCCTCCAAGTGGGCTCGGTCAGAATGCTTCAACCCACTTGCAATCAGTCATCTTACACAAAGAAACCAAGAGTTAGCGTGTGTCTGGGAAGTGCAGGCTCCAGTGGAGAGGTGAACGGTGGGTACCCTGGCCGAGAGACCCCCTCCAGGACCCGCCTCTCCACACCCACAACTCAAGTTGGGGTCTGAGCCCAAGGACAAATGACTCAGTGTGTGGCAGGGACCACGGCATTAACTAAACACAGGAACCATGGAAGGCAGGGCGTGGGGGGTGAGGGAGAGTGGGGCACTGTTTTCCATTATTAGCACTATTTTCACTCCTACTTTCCTATGTGTATGTATTAGTGGGACAAAAAAAAATCCATTTTTAATATTAAAATAAAATTGGTACATGGCATTTACTTTGGGGTTGCTTGAAATGTGGTGATGTGACAGAAGTTAGATCCATAAATACAAAAGGGATTAAATTAAAAGGGTTTAACAGTATTTTAGTGGCCTGGGTGCACTGCAGCGGAATGTGGAAAATGGCAGTCACAACCCTGTGGCATTTGTCCCCATCTCACAACTGATGGGGTCGTTACGTGGTAGGGGCTGAGCTGAGGAAAACGCACTGATGAGAGTTTCAGCAGCTATGCCACCCACTGGTGACTGAATGTGTCCCCAGGACCAGCTAAAGGATAATCACATGGCCATTTTCTGAGAGGAGACGGATCATTGAGGCATGTTTACTGCCAAAGCACTGGCACTGGAATCCAGAAAAAACGATACTGGGCGACTCGCAGTTTTTAAATAACACTAAATAACCACACCTTTCTTCTCACCATGAGTGGCCATGAGCCCCGTAAGGACTGAGTGCTCGGCCTGAGCCATCATTCAGTTCAGGCACCTTCATTTGGTTTTAAATAGACTGCACACAGATTAAGGGTTTTTGCTTCATATTAAATGAGAATCTGACTGGCACACGTGAAATACACATGTAAGAGGAAAAATCATGAGCCAAGGGATACTGAAGAGCAAGAGGCACATCTGAAGCGTGGGGATGAGCTGGTTTCTGTGTAACAGAGGAGCTGGGCGGGAACGCGAGGCGGATAAGAAGCAAAGGGCAGGACTGCGCAGGGGGGCCAGGGCAGGGCACCTGACCACCAACGGGGCCACGGTCCTTCTGCCTTAGAGCCCCCAACCCCCAAGCACAAGACTGAACTCTCCTCTGTCCCCTTGGCTCTATTGCTACTTCATTCTGGAAGGAAACTGGATATGCTTTTTTAAAAAAAGTGCTGCCTGTCTTTCCGCAGCTCTCCTAGGAAAGGGCAGTATGTGCGTTCCCGTTACTTGGAGTCACATCTGTCCAGCTCCCACAGCAACAAGTGCAGCCCTGGAAGCACAGGGAGGCCCAGGCGGCTGAGGCAGGAAGGTGGCAGAGCTGGCTGGGACCACCTTTTGGAAGCATCTGTCAAATGTCTGTGGGATGTGCTGGTGGCGGGCACAGAGAGTGAGTAGAAGGTCATGCTGGCCCTCAAAGAACCCACAAGCCAAACCACCAAGCGGCTATGATCATGCACCCCATGTGAAAAAGTTTGATCATGCGCCCCCAGTATATGAATAATTATTTCTAGATTACACACATGCTGTGCTACTGCTACTTGACTTATGCTTTATGATCATGTGCCCTCTGGGTGAGGGGCCGGCACTCATCCCCTTCTTGGAAACAACGAGGCTAGAGGAGAGTGGAATCAAGAGCCACAACACCATCGCACCCCTACCCCATGCAACTTTTCCTAGGAAGGTACTAGAGAAGAGAGGGAGCTACATGCATGACATGGTCCATGGGGCATTACATTTGTAACAGGCCACAACTGGAAGCTGCCTGAGTGTCCAGCCAAAGGACGACAGGGTAAGAAAACTGGGGCCACAGGCTCTCCACAGAACAGAAGCCAAGCATAAAAAATGACAAGCGAGGCTGCAGAACATTCGCCCAGAATACTGATGCTGTAAAGCCGAGCGGAAGGTGGGCTCTCCGCTGTGTGTGGGTGTGTGCGGTGTGAGCGGGGAAGGAATGGCAATGGCTGGATCATGGCAATGTTTTCATTTCTTCTCTTAAATTGCCTTTGCTATCACTGTAATGTTTTAATAGCATAGAAAGTCAAGTTGAAGTAAGAGCGGCGGATGATTTTTCTCACCGGTTCCCTCTTCCTCCCTCTCCTCCAAAAGACAGTATGGATCTCCTCCCACAGCTTCCCCAGTTTCCAGACTGATGAGTGTGTCCGAGAACCAGCCTGGCTCCACTGACGGGGCCTTCTGTCTTCCTGCTCATAAGGCTGCGGTCATCACTCTCCCTGACAGTTCCATGCCCTCCTTCAGCAGAAGGGCCACGTGGGCTCTCACTGTAGGTGCCATGGCGTTTTTCTCCCACATTCGGTTATCAGTTGATGGCCTTGAGCTGTGATCATATCTGGGAGACCCTGAGCCCAATGCAACGGGGGCATTTCTGCACAAATGGAAGAGCAGCAGCACTCCTGGATAAGTTATGGCAAAGGCTCACAGGAGAGTATTTGTGGGCGTACCTTAACCACACCGTGCATTTTCTGCTAAGGGAGTGTTAACTGGGACAACCTTTATAACTCGCCAACAGCATCAAAATGGAAAGCATGCACTTGACCCAGTAATCCTTTCTCTAAGAATTTACTGTTAGGAAATAATCACACCAGGGCAAAGAAAAAAAAAAAAGAGGAAGAAGAGGAAGGAGGAGGAGGAGGAGAAGGGAGAAGAGGAGAAGAAGAACAAGAAAGAAAAAAATGAGCACAGAAATGCTTGTCCAGTGCTTTTCTAGATAACAGGGAAACACTGCAAGCAACCTGAATGGCTAAAAAATGTTTCATTAAATTATGCTATATCCATTTGATGGAATATCATGCACCATTAAAAATGACATTATAATTAGATATTCAAACAGGTGATAACATTAAAGAATTATTATTTCAGGTGTGATAGTGGTCTCAAATTGATGCTTTAAAAAGAGTCCTTGTTTTTTAGAGACACACATAAAATGTTTGCAGATGAGGTTTGGTTTAAAATAATGGCAGAGGGAAGCAGATTAGTGGTCGCCAGGAGCAGAGGGAAGGGGGGAATAGGGAGTGGCTGCTAATGGGCATGGGGTTTCCTTTGGTGTGATGAAAATGTTCTAGAACTAGATAGAGGTGATGGTTGCACAACATTATGAATGTGCTAAATGTCACTAATGGTGAATTTATGTTATGTGTATTTGCCACAATAAAAAAATAATAATGGGGGAACCAGATGACGGAGTGTGATGAAATAAGATTGGCCATAGATTGATAATTGTTGAAAGGCAAGTGATAAGAACATGGGACTCTACATGTGTACAAGTATGTTATATATACATGTATATAGCTCATTAGAAAGTTTCCATAATAAAAAGTGATGCCACAGATGCATATTTATTGCATGGAATGCCCACAACATGTTGAATTTAATGAGCCAGTTACAAAACTGCATATTGGGACTTTTCCCAGTGGTGTGAAATTACATATCTAGATCCAAATGCATATATACCCATAAAGAAATGTTTGGAATGCTGTTCAGCAAAGGTTTAACAATGATCATTTCTAGGTTAGTAGATTTGAGATTTTTCTCCCTTTGGTCCATTTTCCAGTATGATTTGCAGTTTTCTTTTTTCATTCAGTCTTTTTACAAAACAATAAAGATTTTTTTCTTAAAAGGCAGAAATGTTTAAGAACACCCTTTTTACCTCCTGCATTCTCACAGAATGGTCCTGGAAAATGGCAGATTCCTAACAAAAGCCACCTGGCTAGCTTGACACCTGGGTACTTGCTCAGTGGCAACGCCCTCTGCAGT